TGATGTGCAGAATAAATGGAGAAGATGGAGAAGCAGGTGATTGAAGAAGAACACAATGAAGAAGCAAAACGAGATGGAAGTTAAAGAAGATAAAAAATCTATCGAGCATTGTAGAAAATGATGAAGAACACGATGAAGAAAACGATCTTTATTAATTACATATTGACATGCCAACTTAAATAAAGAAAAAATTAAATAAAAATCCACATAGACGGTCAACTTAACAAATATGAATATTCCATGTCCTACTTGTTAACAAAGAGACCAAATAAATATAATCTTTACATTACAAGGGGGAATAATAAAAATTATAGGGAGGTAAATCAAATGTCGCTCACTTTGCATAGGTAAGGTATATTTAAGCCTTTTTATATAAAACTCATTTCTAAACTAAGAGACATTCATGTACTTCACCAATAAAAAATGAGTCTTGAAAAGAGTGGAAAAAATGTTTCTAACACTCTTCGCTAAATCATTATTATACAATTTCCACCTTTAATTTAGGTAATTTCCTTTACCACCCTTATAGGTTCTCCCTAACCCCCGGCGAAAAGTAAAAAATATCTCTATTTTTTAGAGATGCATCTTCGAGCACACTATTTTCACACAAAATAAGCATAAATTGTTGTTTTAGGGTTAATTCGCAGATGCATCTCTGAATTAACCCTTGTTTTCAAATTAAGGAAAGTTTTTGGAGATGCATCTCCGAACGCGTTCAATGTATATATAACGCGCGACATACCCTCTTTCTCCTCCTTCTTCATTTTCTCAAACTTTCTCATCCCCCATCGGAGTTTGTGAGCAACGTTGTTCCAGTTAACTTTTCAAGCAACACAAGTACCTCTACTTCAATATTTCCAATACCAACTCACTCCATATACTACATTCAAAAAAAATTATTCTCATCAACACTTTTTGAGTAAGTTTGTCATTTAATGTTTTTGACTTTTGATTAATGTATTAGGTAAAATAGTTTATATTTAATGCATTAGGTAGTATCGAAATTCGAAATAGGTATTGTTACAGACATTGCACTATGATTTGGTTGCATTTTGGGTTGTTAGGGAAAGAGTGGGATTTGTTTCTGCCATTGATGCAAGCACTGACTTTTTTGGAGATGTGATGAATCGGATCCTTTCTGACTTCCGGAGATGCATATCTAAAAATGACTTGAATTGCAATGTGATGTTTTTTCTCGCTTTTTTCAGAAGAATGGCTGTAAATAACTATAACAGAATGAGACTCAGCCGTGAAATCCTAACAAAATGAGCAGGCTAAAGCTAGGAGAGGAACCAGTCCTAGGCCTCATAACAGGAAGAATCGAGTTCTAGGAGTTGCCTGACACATGGGTCCTCATCCCAGGGGCACGTCTCCCCTGCTCACGTAGACTATGAGGAAGCTCTTGTTGCATATAATGGTGTCCCTCCACTTGCAGACCCTTATCCAGGATAGACCTCTGACACCTCCTTACTTATATACTATATATGTTATGTTGCTTGACATGTCTGGGTCAGAGAGGTATATTTGTTAACAGTTGTTATTTTTATGTTTTAAACAAATTTCATGTGATTGATATTGTCATATTTTATTTTTAACAAGAGTGTGATTGTTTTAATTTTGTTAACCACATCAGAAATATTCACAAGCTTTATCAACCAAAGGATGATTGGTTCCAAAGTGTCATCAGATACTTCAGTCTTGCCGGTGTGTTCTTCCGAGTACAAGACCATCAGCCATGGCATGCAGGGGGCTTTTGCTGAGCGATGGCATAAAGAAACATTATATTTCTGCTTCCTCATTGGCAAGTTGATGATTAAACTAGATGACGTCGCTTGCCTTCTACATCTTCCCATCAGGGGAAAGTTACTTGATCATTCTAGGATCAAACATGATGAGGCCCAGAAGATGATGGTCAATTATTTGGGAGCTAACCTAATGGGGGCCCTGATGCAGTGTGAGAATACCAGAGATGCTCGTGCCAAATTTTCATACTTGAAAGAGCTATATGAATAAAACTTGGAGTTGATCGGTGATTCTGACGATGATGATCTACAGGTTACCTGCCACCGGGAGTGTGCTTTGAGGTGTTTCCTCCTATTATTGGTTGACACGTCTATGTTTGTGGATAAAAGTGTAACATATGTCAATGTGAAATACCTTAAGTATTTTATCGACTTATCGACCATTCACAATTGAAACTAGGAGACGCATGTTTAGTATACTTGTACTTCAAGTTGGGAGAAGGTTCTCTTTAGACAGACGACAAAGCAAATGACAGGCTCATGCACTTGCAAACGGTAATTTCCGTAGCCACTATTAATTTTAAAAGCACTTTTTTTACACTTGTTACTAATGTTTTTTCTTATTCATTTTCAACGATGGATCATATCTTGCTTTTATCGTATACATGAGTTTAATTTTGTGCTAGGGTATACTGAAGATTGGCCACATGCTTGCATGTATTGCCTACATTAGTTAGTTTAGATTTATGTTGATCATTCTGAGATCCCTCATCGAGTCTGCTCCTAACAACATCGTCTACATACATCTTAGTGACATACTGGTAGATTACGAAAGCCATTTGGTACTAGAGGGGTATCAGAGTATGTCAGTCACAAGTGATTGGCATTATGCTGAAGGTGACATGACTTGGTTTTATTGGGTCACACCTTGTCATGACACCATACGCTCCTAGACGTCCATCTAGGTTTGCTCATGAGGAGATTCTGAAAAATGAGCAGGACACGGATGACCATGTCATTGATGTGTTATCGATCTGTCATAATGTTATGCGGATTACGTGTGAGGGCATAGAGTCTGGGTTGTTTGAGAGAGGTGGCGATGATGTGGTTGCCCTAGCATGTTTTAATCTTACTAAGGCATATAATGTTTCGGGTTACCGGCGGTAGAGGAGAAGCCAGAGGGTTGGGATTAGGCATATGCAATAGATTATACTCTTTTTTTTGTATTTTCTGATGTTTTACTAGTATTTTTCATACATTGAGAACTATGTTTATAATATTTTGAGATGTTTTTTAATTAATACATTATCTTATTTTATGATGTTCGTGTTTATTAATGTTTGAATTAAACTATGGATTACGCACTGTTAGTCGGATTAAAATGATTATCAATTAAAAAAAATACAAACTTGGACAGTGTTTACGTCCAAGATGCATACATGGACGTTTTCGGAGATGCGTGTATGAAATAAGAGTTTTCGAACATGTTCTCGGAATTCATCACATAAATATTTGCATAAATATTTGCAGATATATCTTCAAACTAATTTTTAACAAAAATAAATTGAAGATGTATTCAGAAATATATCTCTAAAAATTTCTCAAAACAATTTTAAATTTTCTTAAGTGTGAGATAAATACCTTAACTTAAGATCGGATGGCTGCTACCAACAACCACACACATTTAATGTTTGTACATATTCTAGATCCTCATCATAGTAATAAAAAAGAAGAAACTACATTGATTAACATTAGACAATACTTTTTTAGTTCTTTTGTCTTCGTAATATTAAGATAAAGATTCAAGTGTATTGTAATTGACACAAATTCTATAATGTATTTTAATCATAAGTATTTTTCTTAATTGTAATCATTATAGGAGTGGTATAATAAAAGGGGGAAAAATGTAAGTTGGGTGGTTAAAATAGAGAGGACCTCGTGAGTTCTTTGTGATATAAAAATATCATTTAAGATGAAAGAAATTTTTTATTGGATATTAATGAGATTTATTATGTTCAATAAAATATGGAATATTGTACGAGACATAATATTAAATATTAAAAATTAATATAAAAATAAAATAAGTGTAAAAAAAATGAGAATGCTGCATTGAATTTGGGGTAGATTATATGATAGTAATATTAGAAATGACACTTTTAAAGAGTGTGGTGTATAGAAAAGTAAATTTGTGTGGTTTAGAAATGTAAAGATAAGATAGTATTTTTTTATTAAAAGAGTAGATTGAATGGAGATGACTTAAGCAATTAAAGATAGAAAAACAAAAAATTATAATAGAAATTATTAAGAAAAACTTCTAAATTAACGAATTAAATAAAAATATATGATTTTAAATAGAACATTATGGCATAATTTAATCATATAATTTATTCTTCTTACTAAAATAAGGTCTAATTGTTTTTTATTGTTGTTAGTAATCGTTATAATTATATATTTGTAAAGAACTCTTAACATTTTTCCCAATATTTTTTTAATTTATTTTCGAATTAATTGTAGTTATTTTTTACATCAACTTGGATGACAATATACAATGAAAAACATAAAAACCGAAGCAGATTCTCTAACTTCGGTTACATCTAGTTTCCTTAATTTTTGAGGTTTTTTTATGAAAGGTGAAAAAAAAAAGGAAACAAGATAAACAAGATGAGAGAGGTTGTATTATTAAAGAAAGAGAGAGAAAGTTATGATACATTTCCCCAAACATCATTTGGTTACTGCCATTTGCTAGTGGTTAACATACACATTCATTACATAGTACCTTTTTTTTAATTGTATCAATTTGAACACTTTTAGAGGACACTTTTAGTTTAAAGAAATCAAATACAAAATATTTCATAGGTTTATTATACATCCATTTCAAACAAAGTAATTTTAACATCATCATAATTTGCTATAAAATTCATAAAAGCTACTACTCCGTAACTAAGTTAAATAAAAGAAAGCAACTAAATCATTTAATTTAAGTTCTCATGTTTCATAATCATACAGTGATGCTGTTCTGTTTAAATAGTGTCACCAGAGACACTGGTCATTTAATAGGACAGGTGTTGCTTCTTCTCCTACACAGTTTCATGCAATACAGCCACGACATACAATGCTTCTTCACCTCTTGCCATGTAATCTCTCACCGGTTCCCCTTATAATAATGCTATATACCTAAACACTTCTCTCTCACAAACAAAAACAACTCAACAAACATCATAAATTGTTTCTTTTCTGTTCTGAATTTCTCTCGCCATCATGACTGACCATCATGCAAGAACAACAGGCTCCTACTCCTATGGAGGATCACCCTATGACATCCACACCTCCAGCCTCAGCCACCCTTCACGCCAGACAGTGAAGTTCATAACAGCTGCTACAATTGGTGTCACACTGGTGTTCTTATCTGGACTCATCCTTGTTGGAACTGTCATAGGGTTAATCATTGCAACTCCTCTTCTTGTTATCTTCAGTCCTGTCCTAGTTCCAGCTGCAATAACACTCTCTCTCATTGCTGGTGGTTTTGTGTTCTCTGGTGGTTGTGGTGTGGCTGCTATAGCTGCATTGTCATGGATTTACAACTACGTCTCCGGTAACCGTCCTGCTGGTTCTGATAATCTTGATTATGCTAAAGGGTATATTACTGATAAGGCTAGAGAAGTGAAGGAAAGAGCTAAGGATTATGGGAATTATGCTCAGGCTAGAGCACAAGAAGCCACACAAGGAACTGGAAATTATGGTCAGGCTAGAGCACAAGAAGGCACACAAGGAAGTTATTAGTAAATCATAAGCTGTGCATTGCTGTCACTTTTTCTCTCCATTTGCATGTTCTGTTCACTCATTGTCACCACTTCTGTTATGTTTCTTGTTAATGTGTTGTGTTTCTGTGTTGTTCAATCTGGTTTGTAAGTTAAATATTGTGTAAGCATTATGTTAGTAAATAAATTTGTCTCTATTTTGTAGCCTACAATGTTTCCTGCTGTTTAAGATGTGTGAATGTGATGGATGAATGTTTTCTTGCTTGATTGTGATGTTGTTTTTGTGTCTCTTTTCTAAATTACCTCTGCTTATTATTATAAGCAAATAAGCAAATATTCTTTTTTTAGGTTTATTGAGTAATAAACATCTGTTCTTGTAGTATTTGACAGTACAAAAAAAATTAATACATGTGTGCATCATCATAAACAACAGAAGTAAGGACTCAAGGCAACAAATCCTAAGATTCTGTTTGCATCATCATAAACAACAAAAGTGAGGAATCAAGACAACAGATCAAACAAATCCGAAGATTTTCTTTGCATCATCATAAACAACAAATCCAACAAATCCTAAGATTTTCTTTGCATTATCATAAACAACAAATCCTGAGACTCATGTACGGAAGAGGAATTAGAAAACTGGCAAAATTAGTATCCACAGTTAATCAAATGCCACATAAATTCAGAGCAAAACTTTAGCTGATTGACACATGAATTGATTTGATTTTATATTAGCAACGTGTTTATTAGTGGCATGATGTTCTTACCATACAATCAATTTGGTTTTGTCATGGATGAGTTAAGTTCAATACATTTTAAGATCTTATTAAAGATCTATTATGGGATATGAAAATATGTTCCCTGTGCCGGATAATAGTTCTCACTTTATAAGACTCTTGTAAACTTTGAGACTAAGGAAGTTAGGAGCCTCACCTGTGAGATTTATTTGGGAATGTTTTTGTGTTGAGAATTTTTCGTCCAAGTAATTAATAAAGTCTACATATTTGAATTTGAGTTCATTCATCGAGTAGTATGTAGCACCGACACCTTATTATCGGTGTGTCTCTGTATCGGTGTCGTGTCAGTTTTGGCGTGTCTGTCCTTAAGTAAACTGATTAAGCATTTGGTTCCTTGCATGAAATATATGACAGACATCAATTCTTTACTACTACTATGAGCATTCTAAGCGCAGAAGAATGACTTGATAAATAGATAAAAATGGCTAGTTAATGGTGTAATCAGAGACCGGAATCAGATTCAGATGTATGATTCCAAGAGAAACTGATAATTATTATTAAGAAAAACAGTCTGGTTGTTGATGAAATCATACAATACTGCAAAGTGAATATAATGCAGAATTTTGACAAGCTGAAAGCATCAAGGGTGAAGTGGCTTATCGTTGTCTTGCTTATAGAAGGTTTCATAAGTCTGAACCCTTGGCTTTGTTTCTGGCAATTCCAACTGTTGTATGAATTCATCTGTCATCTTGACGAAATCATTCATTTGAGTTTTTTTCCATTCCTTCAAAGTTCAAAACAGAATAAAAAAATTAACTTCTTCAATTTGAATCTTGAAAATGAAATGAGCCAAATAATTTGGGTTGGAAGATACCTCAAAATCCCACTCGGAATACAAATCAGGATCATTTGGATTGGCCCAAACATATGCATAAGTTTGTAGCTTTTCAGAATTGTCCTGTAGAAATAATTAGTTACTGAAAACATTGCTGTAAAAACACAAAATATTAAAAATAATGAATGCCTTTGGGAATGATATGAATCAATAAAAGAAAATGAATGTTACTATACCGTTAAGAGAACTTCAACCTCAGTTCTATTGTACTCAACATCTTCGAATTCATCTAAAACATGGAGTTCTGCTCCTGAGATGCCAAGAAGGACCTGAACAAAGACAATTAATTAATTAATTTTGAATCTGCAACAGAATCCGATAAGAATTGGGATTGTTGTTACTCTTCCGGTGACTTTCTTGGTCTGGACGGGGAGGATAGCGGGATATACGCGATCTTTGATCTTAAATCGGTGGCTGCATTTTATCATAATCAAGTTAAATAATTGATTGATTTCTGAATATGAAAAGAGAGTAAGAAGAACTACTAACTAGTCGGAGAGGGTGGCGGGAGCAGATTGAGGTACTCGGTTTATGACAGTACGGACAACCTCATCGGCAAGGAGAGTTCCATAAACAAAAACGTTATGATTCTGATTCACCACCGCGCTCATTTTTCTTCTTTCTACACTCTATTGCTGCTTCAATAGATATCTAGAAGTGTGCGTCAAATGCAAACGGGAGTGTGATTAGTTTTCACCAATGGAAACGGGGAACGTGTATCGGGGATGCATCACACCTTATGGCAATTTGATTTTTCACATAAATAAATAAGGTAACTGTGGCTTTTGTATTGTAATTAATTTGTCTTCTTAAATTATGCTAAATACATAATTCTAAAAATAAATAAAAAGTTTGTATGCATGATTTTAACTCATTGTAAATAATTTGCCTATATGAAGAGAAAATCTATAACATTATTGATTGAAGCATTAGATCCAAAGAAAAATCGCATCCGCGTCCTGAATCATCATCATGTTTGGCATTGGTAGGGAACTATGTTGTTTCACAAATTCATATGATTGTTACCAAACGAGAAAAACGTTGCTGGAGTTTCTTATTCTAGGGTGTCCGTGCATGTTCAGGGATCAATTTGATTTTAAGGAAGATGAAAGCGATAAAGTCTGATGTATATGTTTTAGTCACCAATAATTTAATGCACGTGCATTTTTGTAACATAGAATGTAAAACAGACTACTGTTGTAAACAACCGCCTAACATGTAAAACAGATTTTATTTTGCCTAGTAATTGTTTTCTCAACAGTTTCTCATCTACAACACTAAAATAATAATTCAAATCTGAAATATGGATATAATGAAACATATTTAGACTACTTTCTTACCCTTATTAAGATGAGAACATTTTCAGTGATGATTTTTTTAAGAAAATACATTTGTTATCATGCAACGAGTTCCTGTAGTAGTTTCCAATAAGAAAAAAGTAACAGTAGTTGTTTCTTATCTAATGGGATGAAATAAAGTTATCCATAGTACACATGAGGATATATAGTACCAACAACATCTAACCGAACAATATGACTAGTTGATAACACGAATTCCATAAAATAGTTCGGTGAAAAGGATGACAATGTAGCCAGGCAAGATTCTTTACAACAACTTCATGTGGTCATTGGCTCTGGGGCACCAATAATGTCTAGCAGTGAATCATGAGCCTCAAGTTCATCATGCCATATTGGAAGTTGATCACCTGGGTAGAAGTTTCTAGTCACTCCCTCTGAGTTAATCTACAAGGAATTCAAAATAAAGCAGTGTCATTTTGTGCATAGTTAGCGTTTGAACATTGTCTTTACAACAGAAATGATTGGGCGTGATCTCTTACAATGACAGTTCGGACAACTCCACCACTAGCACCGTCACGAGCGATGGCAAGTGAAACTGCCTTTCTGACTAGTGCCTGTCATACATAAAAATACAGTGTCAGCAGTAAGATAGAAATCCCAACTGCATCTCTTGTATTGGAGAGCATGTTAATATAAAAATAGTTTGTGACTTCACTCTACACCTAACAACTCAAGCTTCTGGTTTTACAAAATACAAACTTTTAAGAATTTTGACAAATTGCAACCTCCATGCCAAATGTGCCCCTATCCTCACTTAATGACTATAGATACACCTCTTCATCTCAAGTCTATAGATACCTATACCTCTTCATCTCAAGTCTCAACCCCTACTCATGTCTTATTTCTTCTATCCATTTCAGCCCACATAATTAACTGTCTAACTCCCGCTAAGTCACTGACAGACACCTCACTATGCAAGAATAGAGAGACCCATACCTCAGCTTCGTCTTTGGTCATTCCCTCTTTCCAAGCTTGATCAAAAAATCCATACAAGTAACTGGACCCAGATCCTGCAATAAACAAAAAACTCATGTAAAAACACACCTTAATAAAGGAAGCAATGCATTCTAATGATACAGTTGAAGGGCTAGCAATGAAAGTTAAAAAGAATAAGATGTTTAACGAGAAAATCCATGTATACACATTTGCATAGATCAACGATCTAGGCTAATCCAAATTACTCCAACAGAGACTGGCGAAAAGACAAACAAATCAAAAAAGCATAAACAAATTCACATCCAACCTTCCCAATATAGAATGCGTATAACTATTAGAGAATAACAGCCTAGATCTTTTACAATTATAGAATAACAGCAACAATTCAAAGTCATTTCTAGCTAATCAATCCAAATTCAATCACCAAAGATTGAAATGGATACAAGACCATCCCCAAATTCTCTGGCACGGTAACACATAATCAACATCTTTGAATTTGCATTTGTTCATTCAAGTTAAATAAAACATACTAAAATGGCGACTCAATTTAAATAGGTTTTATAACCAACCACCTTTACACCCATCTCAACCACCCTTACAAAGTCATATTGTATCATTTTCTCCCTCTACCAGTACCACATTTTGCAATCACTTCTCTCTTTTTTCCACACTGTTGTGCTGTAAATAAGGTGAGATTTGTTTGTTTCTCCTACACTCTTCACTATTATGCTACACCAAAAAATCAAATAGTTTCTCATTTTTTATTTTCCACATCATTTGTTTCATTAATTTTATTTCCTTCATTTTTATTCGGAATGAGTTAAAAGAATTCAATAATAATTTCTCATATGTTTACATTGCATAGATTGATTTTATAATCCCTGGTTCAATTTCTTATTGACAAAAAATGTAACTTTATTTTCATTCATAATTATTTTTTCGTTTTCATTTGGTAAACCTTTTATCATCATTTTGTCAACTCGATGGTCTCATATATTTACATCATTAGTTGGCAATATGGTTTTTAAGGCAGTTAATTTTTCATTGATTATTATTTTTCTGTTTTTCTTTAGAGTATGTGATTTGAGTGTGGTAAGGATATATGGTAAATAAAGAAGTGGGTAGGCTGCTTAGTTGGCAAGTTTGTTATGCCTCAGTTATATAAATAGTTAGGTGTGAATTATGATGGTTATGCTAGAAAATTATTGTGTCCGTTATGGTTAGTCAAAGAGAGAGTTTTCTCGATCTAAGGAGTTTGGCTCTGGATAGATTGGGATTGTTGTCCTCCTACATTTTATCTTTCATTTTTCTGTTCTAACAGTGTTTGCTCTGTTTCCGTGCAATAAACACATTATGCCATAGTTCTAAATTTGTTGGTTCAATAACTTTAGCTATAGAAAGCCATTCGAATCCTCACATTGTACTTTCATGCTAATCACGGTCCCTTTGTGTTGTAACATATTTAACTGGTTAGATATAAACCATTCAAAGATCTGAATGAATCAACCATCTGCCTTTTCCACATCAATATAACTATGCATAAATATTTGTTACCATTCTAAAAACTCTCTGGCATTAAAAAGATGTGGGAAAATATTTATCAGGTTCTCATCATAAAACTATTGTAAAGCAACGTCAAACAATTTCCCCTTTGACTCATCTTCTTTTCATCCACATTAGACTGTTCGAGAGAGCAGCCTATCAGCAATTACTTGGATTTAATTTTATTTTATTTCTATAAGTCTTTGAAGTCTATAAAGTATAAACGATCTAAATCAACTTCAGCAAAAGGTTTTCCAAGCATGTGATTTTTAAAAACAAAACATAAATCTAAAATATGTCAAATATTGATATCAAGCCATAACCTTAGCAAGTGACACACGCAACACAGTTATACGGGGACAGGACATTTATAAATGAACATAAATAGAGAAATAGTGAGAGCGGTTGTATATATAAACATATTTTTTAACAGTCAAATACCTCCAATAGCAAATGGTTGTTGTACAATTGTTCCACCTAGAGGAACTCCAAAAATCTGACCACCTTCATACTTGTCCCAGCCACCGACAATTAACCCGGTTTGCAAGTTATTCTGCCAATGAGAATAGATTACACCAAAGCCAAATATTTATGGACATACAGATACATATAATTAGCAAGTATCAATAGAAGTATCCATCAGACTGACATAATGCCACATGTTAATATTTTATCAGTTCCAAATGTATCTACATATGCAACTAGCATTATGGAATTTGATAGAAACTCAACAATACCACTCTAATTAACAAGAAAAGGCCTCAAAACCAAACCTTGTTGTTATATGCGAGAAGCCGAACAAGGTTGGCAGCAACCTTGACTGTGGCAGGTTGTCCGAGCTGAATCCTACATATAATGAAAACTGATAGTGATATGACCATCCTCATAAATAACAAACAGAAATTGTTGTAAACAAAAGGCACAGATAGAGAGAAATAGAAATACGGACAGAAACACATAATCAAGGTGAAAATGTTAATGTATTATTGAGTAAGAAAGGGAAAATGTAAAAGGGGGGTGATCCTTTTACACCACAAAGCTATGCTCCACTCAAGAAGTTACAACTCTCTCTGGCTACAAAGTACAAACAGAATGATACTCTCCACGTGCCCTCTCTCCTCAACCATAATCCTAATATAACAGAAAATGCATTCGCCCATCACACACTTCTCTCTTCGCCACCTCACCATTCCTTCTGGACTTCCTCTCATACACCCTGCAAATCTTGGGCTGTTTTCTGACGTGCTTTCTCGTCCAATAGGCCAGTACAAGTCTCATAGGCTCTACCAAAAACTATAGTCCAAAACATCATAGTACAAAAGGAAATGTTCTATTACAGTTATACACAATTGAGTACGCCACTTACGTGTGTTGATGGAGGAAGTAGCGCACATAGTCAGAGACAACCTGAGAATCTGCAGCCTGGAAAAAGAAATAGTTTAAGCAGTTAGAAATATTTGATTTCCTTCACCTCATCAATCTCATCTGTGCATTGCCTTCATTGGCACTTAGAAGCTTGATTAGGATAGTTTCTAATTAGCAGAAGTTACTCAATTAAATTAAGTTTATGATTCTTCATTCATGAAAAAGTACATATATAAGTTATAGGCAAATATAAAAAGCCCTTATAAATTTATAGGTATATTTATTTATATAAGGTTAAGTTAAATGGGAGAATTTAAAAAAATAAATTTAAATGCAGAAATTAGTTTCAAGTCATCGGAGAAGCACGTATTAAAAAATTAATAATTAAATAAAGATTCTTTTAGTTTTTT